ACCAAATCTTCAAGGTTAACAATTTTCGTTAAAAAGCAAAAAACTGACAGTTATACTGTTAGAATCGTCATCACTGTTCTCCCCTTTGCGATGCCCCTGATTCCATATAAAAGGCCGAGGTCTCCCTCCGGGCCCTCCCTCTTCCCTCTTCCCTCAGCTGGGTTAGACGCATGGTTGTCATCGGGACGCGTGGCCTCGGATCTTCAGCTCCCGTGGATGCCGTGGATGGCGGGCGTCTCCTGGGTCTTGTATATTTGTTTGTGAATCTCCCTCTGTTTTGTCTTTTCGGTGCTGTGTTTCATTTGAGTGCCTTGTTGCAGAAGTTGAGGACCCAGCGTCTCTGTTGACTTCACCCTTGACCTCCCCCCTTGACATAACAATCAACACAGGACTACATGAAGTGCAACACCAGACAGAACAGAACGATAAAGACACAGAACAGTAATAGAAAAGTGCAACAATGACAGTTGTGCAAAAGACTGAACACTGCAAAAAGTCACTTGATGTATGAAGGTGTGTGTGTCAGTCCAGTCACTGAGTGTTCAGGAGTCTGACGGCTTGGGGGAAGAAACTGTTTCACAGTCTGGCAGTGAGGGCTTGAATGCTCCGGTTCCTCTTGCCAGAAGCCAGCAGGGTGAAGAGTGTGTGTGTGAGGGGTGTGTGGGGTCCTCCACAACGCTGGTGGCTTTGCAGATGCAGTGGGTGCGATCGGTGTCTGTGATGGAGGGAAGAGAGGCTCCAATGATCTTCTCAGCTGCTCTCACTCTGTTGTAGGGTTTGCAATCCGATGCGGTGCAGTTACCAAACCAGACAGTGATGCAGCTGCTCAGGATGCTCTCGCCACCTTCTGTAGAAGGTGGTGAGAATGGATGGAGGGAGATGAGCTTTTCTCAGCTTCTGCAGGAAGTAGAGATGCTGTTGGGCCCTTTTAGTTATGGAGCTGGTGTTGAAGGACCAGGAGAGGTTCTCCGCCAGGTGGACACCAAGGAATTTGGTGCTATTGACAACCTCCACAGAGGATCCATCGATGTTAAGTGGACAGTGATCTTTATGTGCTCTCCTGAATTCTACAATCAGCTCTTTTGTTTTGTCCACGTTCAAAGACAGGTTGTTGACTCTACACCAGTCTGTTAGCTGTTGCACCTCCTCTCCGTTTGCTGACTCTTCGTTCTTGCTGGTGAGACCCACCACAGTTGTGTCAGTTGATTAAACTGTGCATTTATGCAGAGTCATGAGTCAGCAGCGTGAAGAGCAGTGGGCTGAGCACACAGCCCTGAGGGGCTCCAGTGCTCAGTGTGGTGGTGGAGATGCTGTTACCAATCCGGACTGCTGTTCAGGCCCAGCAGGCTCAATTTTCCAATCAGGTGCTGAGGAATGATTGTGTTGAATGCTGAACTGAAGTCTATGAACAGCATTTGACATCATCGATGCACCTACTGATGTAGCTGGTCACAGATGTGTACTCCTCCAAGGTGGTGTGGTCGCCATTTGTTGCAGCCTCCCTGAACACGTCCCAGTCAGTGTACTCAAAACAGTCCTGAAGAGCAGAAAGAGCTCCTGTAGGCCAGGTTCTCACCCGTCTCAGCACCGATTTGCAGTGTCTGATGAGCGATCTGTATGCCAGAATTAGCATAACAGACAAGTAGTCTGAGTATCCGAGGCGAGGGCAGGGCTTCGCTCGGTACACACTGGGAATATTTGTGTAAACAAGATCCAGCGTAAGATTCCCCCCTTGTTACAAAGTCTACATGTTAATGGAATTTAGGAAGCACTGACTTTAGTTGATGATAAACGGTAAGATCCTAAATGTATGGCAGGAGCACTGGAGCATCAATGACCCAGGAAGACATCTAATATTCAATTAAGTATTTGATGAGATGTGCCAATATTCAGAAAAATTGGCAGGATCTGAATGGAAGAAATAATAAATACCTGTTTCAGAGTAGAGCACACATTGTATTTAATAGACAAGGATCCAACTGGTCTCTGCATGCACTGCAGCCCAAATCTCTCTAGCATGTATACTTGGAGCGTCAGGCCTATGATCAGGAAAGAAAAAGTATATTATCATAATAGGAACTTTCAAGGAGCTGAAGATTCATTTTACTTTGGAAGACCTCCTTGGAAAGCCACTGCTGCAGGTCTATAGGTAACTGGTGTGGTTACGAGAAGGATAGATTTATTAGAAAGAAGCTTTTTAAAAAATATTTTTTTAATTTATTTTTGTCAAGTTCAAGGTAACACTCCAGTTCAGTAGGTGGCGCTAATGTACCTTTAGCTGGTCTAACAACCGCCATTAAACCAAAGAGTATAAGAAAAAGAAGCGGCAGAAGAAATATTAACCCCCCCCACCTCAACACAATCGACCAAAATGGAGTAGTGCCGAAGGCAGTACTAGATGAGCTTTCGTGTAATGTAATTCATTATTCGAACAGACATTATTCCATCGCAAGGAAAATTTAAGACTTTGAGAAACCGCAGACACCGTTTTTGTTCCTGTTGTCAAGCTTTCTGCAAGGAACAGGTAACTCCAGCGAACTGGCTGGGTAGCTAGCAAAGTTAGCATTAGCGGCTAGTGCTAATTTTAGCTAGCTATCCCTGTAACTCGACAATAGTAGAAAGAAATCTTAGCATGATTTCTTTGGCACAAAATATTTACATAAAACATTTATCTCGAGTCATATTTACTGTCACATTGCAACATCCCGAATAAGGCTATTTTTTCCATCGCACGCTGCAAGGCTAGGATTGCTAATCTGAACGGTGTGCAACGTAGTTTGCACCAGCGTACAGCTTAACACCCCCTGTCTTGTCTATTCTACTTTGCTGTTCAGCACAGCGCTGCTTTGGTTAACCTAATACGCTAGTCTTCCATATAGAGGATGTTCAAATCGCAGTTCATTCATTTTTAAACCAGACCTTACTCTTAAAGGTGACAGACCGCATGACGTTAGTTGTTGCCATTCGGTTCAGCCGTCCAAATTGTTGTCAAATGCCATTCTATCGTATTTATGCAAATAATCATGATTTGCACTGTGAGCCGCTATGGCTGAGGTCTTAATTCAACAGGGTTCGTGGTGTGGAGGTTGTTCAGTATCGCGGCTTCTCTTTTTTCAGATATAATGGAGCCATCGGAGCAATCAGGCCCAGACTCAGGCTCTCAGGATGTCAACCCAGTGTTTCTGCAGCAGCTCAGAGAGCTGGACATCCCAGAGGAGGCGGCCAAACAGGTGGGGCTGTGCAACCTCAGTGTGCACCTTATATCCTGTGACAGCATCACATTTCTTTAAAAGTTCATGGTACTTACTGTGTTAAATAATGTTTGTGTCTGAGTTTAGGAATGTTTCTCACAGCTGTGTCACAAACACTGGAAATCGTAAAGCCATACTTGCACAGTGTGTGTATGTGTCTACCAATGTCTGTGTTCCAAATCTAAATGTATTGTACATAAGACTCCTATTTTATTTTTATGTTTTTATCTTTATATTGTTTTAGTGTACACTGAGGGTCATGGGAGCATTTAAATTTCAAATTCCTGTGTATGATCTGTACATATGGTTTTTGACAATAAAGCTAACTTTGACTTTGTCTAAATCGTAATGAGTCACAATAGCAACTTCATTGCTCCAAATAAGATTACAGTGTTTGGACTATTGATTTATTTTGTCCTCGGGAACAGTTTCTTCAAGGACTGATCGAGGATACAGCTCTGCAGTCTCAACCAAAACAAAAAGGACTCACCAATAATTAGATATGCGGAAATAATTCCTAATAATATCTAATCAATGAGGAAACTAACTGCAAAAGATGACAATTATTTCTATAAATGTATTTTCTTGGCTACCAAAATAAAGTCTACTTTTACTTCACGGTTTTGTTTCCTGTCCCTCTCCATTGTCTCTCCACTGTAGGCACTCTTGCATACTCGGAATGTGTCTGCCGAGGAAGCGGCCATGTACTACTTCAACAAGCTGGAGAATGAGGTGCCCATAAGCTAGCCTTAATCCCTGCAGGTACACCTTGGTACATTGGACCTTGTGGAGTTTATCCAAAGCCAAATCTCAGTGTCTCTTTGTGTGTCTGCTGTTTAGGAGGAGGGTGATGATGACCTCATTTACAAGATGGTGTTTGTGGTGAATATGGACCTCGCCATGGGCATTGGGAAGGTTAGTTCAATGGGACCATTTTTTTCAGCTTTTTGTGTGTGTGTGTGTATTAATCCCTGAGGAAATGATGTGGTTACAGTTGTGCCCAGACGATAAGGACAGTAACAGACTGAATTAAATAAAACGAAAGAATATATTACAAAGTTACAAAATATAACAAATAGCTTTAATATATACAAATAGCTCAATTACAGAGATTACATATATATGATTGAAATTTTACACTAAACTGTAAAACCTTATTAGTTGGTTTTACTTAGAGGATATGCAAAAGAGTGTAACTGTTGCACTGCATACGGTCACTCCCTGGATTGAAACAGAGGCCACAGGTTTCCTGGTCATCCTAACATCCAAAATCAGTTCTTTGGTCTTTGTCACATATTCTGACAAATGAAGCCATCATTACTTTGCATGAACAGTGCACTTTGAGGTCAGCGATGTACATCGGAGGCACTCCAGTGGTCATTACAAATGTTGTATTTTTAACAGCTGCTACTAAACCAAAGAAAACAAGGGAATGAAATTAGGGTTTCCAGCTTTCCTTCCATTGGAAGAGGAAAAACAAGGGGAAGGAAAATTCCAAAAGTCTTCTTGGCACGTCTGCTTGCACGCATCTGAATCACTCATCCATTGTTGGTTTTTGCACTAAAAAAAATAAAAAGTATATTTTTTGTCTCATTTTGGGTTAAAGTGGGAGTCATTAAGCTGCTACATACTGCTGTCGTTTACAGCTGCGGTACTTTTTCTTCTCCACATGTCAGCTCATGAGACAGCTGAAGTTACATAAGATTTAATGTTGTGTTACTGTAAACAGAGTTGTTGTTGCTTTTTTTGGTTTTTGTCATTTTATGTTAAGTTTGTGAGAAATGTAACACTGAATTGATTGAACTCGACACTGTTTGTGTGCAGGTGGCTGCTCAGGTTGGTCATGCTGCTGTGGGCTTGTACCAGGCTCTACAAGAGAAGAACAGCTGGAGGGAGATGGCCTGGAGGTGGGACCACAGTGGGTAAGACCGCAGTATTATTTTCTAGAAGACCTGATGCTTTATTTTGGAGCTCTTCTTAAATATTTTTCAGCATTTCTTTGTTCATTAAAAGTCCTCCTATGTCAGAATAGTGCTCCAGATTGCTATCTGCATTGACAAT